GTGCCGAGCTCACTCGAGGTGATAGACGCATGCGCTATATGCATAACGTGAAACCTGACTACAGTTGGAAAAAAGAGCACACAAGATTCTTAATTTGGCTTAAAATACAGACATTCTGACAAATCAGTAACTGTTTGTAACTTTACCTCAGCTTAGAAGGCAGAGGATGTTGGTCTTTTCCGTTCAGATTCAGCTATCGGAGCATGACGCTAATGTTTACTTACTCTTACTCACTGGTGCTCAAGAGGTAGAGGAGCCAAATGACTGGCTCACTGCTGCCACCTAGTGGTCAGAGGCTGAACTACAACACAAAAATGAATGGCTGGCAGGAAAGTTGACATTTTAAACCTTAATAAAAAATCGATACAGGGCTTTAGAATATCGATACAGTATCCGGAAATGAAATATCGCGATATTTCAGTGTATCGATATTTTCTTACACCCCTAGTTTGCTTTGCTGCCAAATGTCCTGAGCACCTTACAGATTACGTCGACATGAACTCCTATATGGACCAAAGTCTTTTTAAGGTCAAGTATGAGGCCGTCTGTCCAAAAGCAGCTCTGACCAAACAATCAGGATGCAACAGAACAATGATTCCAGAGTGGGTAGGGAAGTCGTCCTGGAACTGGTAGGTTGCTGGTTCGATCCCCCGTTCCAGCTGTCACAGTTGCTGTGTTACCTTGGGCAAGAAACTTCACCCCCAGTGTCACTAATATGTGTCCCATCAGTGAATATATGTGATTTAAAGCACTGATTAGTCTCCATAGATGATTTGTACATGTTAGATTGCTGTCTGGTTGGGTAAATGAGGACACAGATTGTAGTGTGAAGAGCTTTGAGTGTCCTGGTTGGATTGAAAGGTGCAATATGAGTACAGTCCATTTACCATTCATAAGCAGCAGGGAGGGTGACTGCAATTATTTTATGAAGCCAGAGGAAGACACAGAAGAATAAACTGCACTCACTGGCTTGAATAGAGGTGGGTAGCGATGTTACACCTTCAGTAGCTGCTGTTGTGTGTTGTTGTCACAATCTCTGGTTCCGGTCGCTCTGCATCAATTTCGTAAACTTCCGTAAGCTGGGGGTGTGGGGCAGGCTGGCTTATAGTGGCTGTGTTCAAATTCAGAGCTGCATCCTTTGAAGAGCGAATTTGTCGGCCGCTTACGTCACTGCGCCATGCTGAAGGCTGCCCAAATTCAAAGACTCCTCCGATGGCGGCCAACAAATGAGTCCTGTTTTTGCCCTGGTTTGAGGGACGAGTCTGGTAGATCCTATTCTGCCCACTCTATCCCAAGATGCATTGCGGGCCAACCTGAGATTTCTTTTTGCTTGTAATTGCTGACAAAGTGAGAGAGAGAATAAGTATAAAAATGAAATATTTAAAGCAGTTGTGTTGTTAATGCTTTATCATATGCAGATGTTTGTTAATATTATTCTTGTCAGAAATCAAACAAGCTGGTTGTGAAATAAACATTCAAATATGGCAGGTCCGTTAGTTCTTTAAATATTGCTTTTAAGCAAATTTTGTTATTTTATAATGTTAATCAGGGTTCCCACGGGTCCTTGAAATCATTGAAAGTTTGTGAATTTGAAAAAATGATTTCAAGGCCCTGGGAAGTTTGTGAAAACAGCCAAAAATTACACTTGTTCTTGAAAGTCCTTGAATGTTTTTTGGGGATTGAAATTCTCTATTCACATGACTGATTTTCATCATCTTTTAAAAAAAATTGTAAAATTAAATAATAAAAAAACTTACATTTGTTGTGGTGGATAACTCAGGATTAT